TCTCTGCTCCAGTCTGCTGACACACACACAGAGGACAGTCCGCTCCTTCCCGTCCTCCACGCCGTCTCTACATGGATGCTCGGTGCGGTTCGGCCCAGATCAGATCGAAGGAAGTCCAGTCCAGCACCGGGAGCAGGAGAACTGGTAAGAAGCTGCTTTTCTTCTCGGAGCGTCAGTTAGTTCTACTGTGCTGTTCTGTTAGTTCTCCGTCATCACGGACCGAACCGGACAGACCGAACCGGACAGACCGAACCGGACAGACCGACCGGCCAGACCGACCGGACAGACCGGACCGGCCAGACCGACCAGACAGACGCCGTCCACGGCTGGTGCCGAACTGACGGAACTGACGAAGTGAAGTGTAGAATTCAGCCTAGGACAGAAGTCTGTGAAGGAGCCGAGTGTGTGTGTGTGTGTGTGTAACGACATATTCACATACAGTGGAACATCGGTTCTCGAACGCTCTAACAATTTGGTTCATGAACAAAACTCTAAAGCAAAAATGTTTTCAAACTTTTTAATTTGAAAACCAAGGTTCCACTGTATTTCAATTAATTACGATTAATCAAATGCTACTTTTTTTCATTCGTAAATCTAAAAATGCAGAAACTGCACCATAACAATAATTATGACAGCGTGTGTGTGTGTATGTGTGTGTGTGTGAAGGTGCTGTGATTGATGGATGGAGACAGTTCCAGGTGTGCAGTCAGCAGGGAACACCTAATAGTTGTGTGTGTGTGTGTGTGTGTGACAGCCCCATTATTCACCATGATGTCTAATTACATTAGTCCAGTCCAGTCCACTGTGGGCTGGACTGGACCTCAGATCTTCTCTGGTCCAACTGTGCCTCCTCCAGGAGAGGAGGAGAGGAGGAGCGGGGTTGGAGGTTCCCCCCCCCCCCCCCCTCCCCCACAGACCAGCGTTTGTTCTGGTGGAGGTAAAGCACACACACACACACACACACACACATGTCTGTTTGTGGGGCTCCAGGGGCCACAGTAACGGAGCGTGCTGATTGGCTGACTCTCAGTCCAGATGCATTTCCTTAATGGACTCTGAGTCTGATCTAATCAGAGGTGGAGGAGCTGCTCCACCTGCACCACCCGCAGCAGCTGAGAGCCTCATCAATAACACAGGAATCCTCCCTCCACTCAGACCTGGGGGGTCCAGGGGGGGTCACGTCAGACAAACAGACTGTGAACGTTCTGAGAAGTTCTTAAAACTCCACTGGAGAACCTGAACTCGACCCACGTCAGTCCTGGTACTGCTGAGTACCCCGGAATCTGAATACCATCCATAGAACCAGGACTGAACGAGCCTTAGACGTAGTGTAGTGGTCCACGGTCACACTGTGGATGGGTGGTTTGTGGCCTTGCCTTATGTGAAGAAGATTGTGGGTTCGATTCCCTTTTTCTCCTTGATGTGTTTCTTCTGTTCTCCCTGCGTGTGTGTCCTCCCCCAGTCCTCAGTCCAACATCACAGGGCGGGGCCACAGGTCAGGGTGTCACTGGTGTCCCTCTCCCCCTCTACCTCCCCCTCTACCTCCCCCTCGACCCCCCCCTCCACTCTCATCTACACTCAACTCAACTGAAGAGCGCTGCCTCACTGGTGATGGCGCTGTTGCTCACACACTGACTGAAGCAGACAGTAATTCTCTCTCTCTCTCTCTCGTCCTTCCTTCCGTGTTCGACACACGCTGACGTTCCACAGTCAGTCTAAAATGTTCAGAAACATATAAACAGTTTTGGAACTAGAACGTGTCCACAGCGAGGTGCGTTCAGGTACCGTCGTAAATGTGAGAACCTGATATTAGGGCCCTGAAACAGAGCGTCTGTGGTGTTTTGGACATTCTTCTCGCTCTTCTTTTAACTTCTTAAATAAAACATCGTGACTGTCCCTGCAGCTCTGACCACCGGGGGGCGTGGGCCGAGCCTGTGATGAAAAGACAGCACTGTGTTGACTTCTACAGACTGACCCCACAGACCTCCTGACTGAGTCTCATGAGCTTCATTGACTGTGTTCAGAGGGAGCGCGTGCACGTGCACATGCACGTGTCAGTGAGGATGTGTCCGTGCACGTGCACGTGTCAGTGAGGATGTGTCCGCACGTGCACGTGTCAGTGCATGCACGTGTCAGTGAGGATGTGTCCGTGCACGTGCACGTGTCAGTGGTGTGGACTGAAGGAGTGACAATAATTCACTTTGTTCTCAGTCACACGGAGCAGTTCATCCAGTCGACCATCTGCATCTGTCTGTGTGTCTGTGTGTCTGTGTGTGCACAGAGCAGAGATGCTTTGTCTCCCCCCCCACTCTCCCCCACTCTCCCCCGACCTCCCTCAGCTGCCGAGTGCCTGAAATATTTAACAGCCACTGGACTATTTTTGAGTTTGTTTTCAGTTTGTTGTTGTTGCCTTATGTAATATGTAGCTGTTACAGCTGTTACTACTGTTACTGTTACTGCTGTTACAGCTGTTACTGTTACTGCTGTTACTGCTGTTACAGCTGTAGTGTAGACTGACTCAGAGCGACGGTTCCTCCGTCTCTGATGAATCTAAATCTTCTGTCTTTTACTCTGAGGTTCTTCGTCTTCAGCTCTTTAGCTGGTCCTCACTGATGTCAGACTCCTCCTCTCTCCTCCTCTCTCCTCCTCTGTTCTCTGAGGTGTCATGTTCTCTGACTCATGTCCTGGTGTAGAGGATGTAGAGGGGGGGGGGGGGGCACACGTCAGGATGAAATAGAAGAGACTAAGGTCATTTTTCACCTGGGTTGTGTTTGAGGGCCGGGGTAAGAGCTGGAGTTAATGCCCTGCCAAGAGTCTCCTCCACCCAGGACAACCACCCTGATGATGAATGGACCCAGTAATAAGACTGTCCACAGACCAGGTCCACAGACCAGGTCCACAGACCAGTGTTTAGTTGACCACACCACTTATATACTCACAGGAATTGAAGAAAGACACAAAATGACGACATTTCGTCACAGCCATCTGCTGCCACCTAGTGGAAGAGTATTCAATTGTTCTGCTTGTCACAGTCACGTTGACCAGACAAATTTGCGGTAAATAAATGATGGTTTTCAGTTAATAATCCACGGCACAAATGAAGAACCGTCAGAGGTCGTATTTAGTCTTTACCGTCGGAGTCCGTCGGTCAGGGGACGTGTGTACGATATGTGTACGATCTTGGATATTTGAAATTCAACAAGTGGGTGGATGTGGTACTGCGTCTGTGAGAGTTCCACAACAGTACTGTAACAGTGTCTCTCTGTCTCCATCAGAGGAACCTGGTACCAACTGAAGGACCAGCAGCTGGTACTGTTCCTTGTCCCACTCAGCTGCATGCCACGCCCACATCACTATGAACTGTGAGCAGGACTTTGGAGACGGGGGTCTGGGAGTGACCCTCACACTCCGTCTGCTCATGCACGGGAAGGTACACAAAAGTACACCTTTATTAGCTGCTGGTTTACAGCTGTGTACTTTTAGAAGTATTTAGACATAAACGTTGATGTCGTCTCAGTTTGACCACGCCTTCTTTTTCATTCCAGGAGGTTGGCAGTATCATAGGAAAGGTGAGTACTCTGTACTGTGTACTCTGTACTCTGTGAAGTATGTGAGGTATAGATAAAGTACTTCCAGTGAATACCAGTGGAGTGTCTGATCACTGGTATCATTATCACTGGTACCAGTATCATGTTGTGTTCCAACAACAGTACCAGCAGCTGCTCCTATGAACAGTCGGTTCCTGACAGTAGCGTTCTCAAACATCAGACCCATAATGCAACAGTGTCCCCCTGAGCAGAGAAGATTTCTGAAAGTTTTTCTTCAGATGTGGTTTGAACTGAACCGACGTTGATTCTGACTCGTCTTTTACAGAAAGGAGAGACGGTGAGACGGATACGAGAAGAGGTAAGGTGTCCACAGTCCACACCCTGTGGGCCACATCCTGTGGGCCACACCCTGTGGGCCAGACCCTGTGGGCCACACGGTGTGGGCCACACCCTGTGGGCCACACCCTGTGGGCCGCACTCTGTGGGCCGTACTCTGTGGGCCACACCCTGTGGGCCACACTCAAACATATCTTCTTTGTTAAACGGGTCCTGAAGCTGAGACTGAGGTCTTTGTCCTGGTGCAGTCTTTGGACTGGACTGCTGAGAACGGGCAGTCACTGTGGTTATGAACCACAATCAAATTAGACCAAAGGTCTGGTCACTTCAGTGTCAGCTGAAGAGGTCAGAAGGACAACAACAGTCCCAGATTCAG